ATATATATATATATATATATATATATATATTGGGTGGACAATTAAGTCATGGCCGTTTTTGTTGACAGATTCACTCTATACTTTCTTTTGTTCTGTTAACGTGGCCAGAGCATCTAACCTATATTTTTTTCTTACTGTATGGGCTTCTAGGTTAATTAGTAAAACATTTTTTTGTTTAGTTCTTTAGTTTTGTTTTTATCCCAATTTAAAAATGAAAGAACAGGACGTGCACTTCCCACACATTTTATTGTATTACTTCCGAAAAGGCAAGAACGCATCGCAAGCACAAAAGAAGTTATGTGCCGTACATGGAGATGAAGCCGTCACAATTGAATGAGGGTAAAAGTTGGGTGAATGTCGTGTTAAGTAAGTTGAGTAATGGGCGAACAGTCTGGTTGTTGGGAAAATTATCCATCTGTAATACCCAAGTGGAACAAAATATCTTATTCATTTAAGCTAAAAATAGTTGTGCAGTCCTTCGAAGTCAATGCGGCAACTGATCGGCTTGTAAAATTGAAGATATTAACTTATTTTTTTACTTCTCCTTTAACCCGCTCTAAGGTCAACTTTTACGGTCTCGTGTTTTTTCCAATCCCATTCGAACCATGGCCAGTACAACGAATTTCTTGATAAGTTCACATAAATAAATTTGGCTAATATAGACTTATTTTACTTTAAAAAAAATAAGGCATAACTTTCGAACATTAAATTAGATTCCCAGCTGGAAATTGTTATGAGATCTTATGTTAGTCAAAAGTGAATGGAGACGAAGTATTGACTAATTAGTCAATTCTGTTGCTGGTCATTCGCTTTCAAATGTATTTCACTTCTTGGAGCAAGAATACTGGTGGATGATAAGATCGAAGGTGATTTTGACTAAGTTAACCTCATTCGAGTTCACTCAAGTTGACAAATAATAATTTATATCAAATGGCAAGCTTTATGAAAGTTATCATTAGCCCCTTAGTTGACTTCAGGCTTCACAGAGGAGGAGGGGGAACATCAAAATGAAAAAAGTCGATATAGGAGGGGGACAGAAGAGTGTTTCAAGGATGCTAAAGAGATAGACACCAAGGTAGAAAAAAGGTGAGGTGAGTACTGTAGAAGTAGTGGAATATGACATGTAGTTGAGTCATGGTAGTTTAAAGTCAGAAGTCAACTGCCAGTTAATAGACTCTTTGCTGTATGAGTAAACGTTGCCCAGGGTGCATCACGTGGAGGTAAGTCTGTCTCACACCCCCACACGAGTCCCTGAGAGGCGGATATGAATCTGACCTAAGGAGCTCTGTTAATCGTATCTACAGTCCTCCGCTCTGCAAACTGAGCTATCGCCGGTTGACGAATATAAACAAACGCTATTTTGACTCGCTTTTTAGGTATCTTGGTCCCCCAGTAGACATGTGGGCAATGGGCGTCCTCCTCTACTATATGTTGGTAGGATTCCTGCCTTTTCGTGGTCGAACAGTCGGTCAGCTTCGCAAGGTCATTTTAGAAGCGACATCCGCAAACAGCGAATTCCGAGTTCCGCCTCGTGTCTCAGAAGGTGCCACAATTCTCATTCAGCGACTGTTAACAAAAAATCCTCTCAATAGACCAAAAGCGTCAAAGTTGATTGAAGAGGCTACACGAAGTTCGCATTCCTCCCGATCCATTTCCATGGATAGATTAGTTAGTGCAACGATGAATGCTTCCCCTTGGCACAAGAACGAACCCTGGTTGGCCCATCAAGTTTTCCCCAAACCCTATCCCAAAGTTAATTCTGGACCACCTGGTGGAGTGAGTTAAAAAGAGTAACTTTAAATTCAAGTTATTTAACTAAAAAGTATAGATAAAAAAGAACATATTTTTCCATCATCAGAATCAGGCTTGTCGGTTTCCATTAGAAAACCAGATTGGTTTAACTTTCTTTCCTATTTTCGGGTGGAGCATTGTATACTCATTCCAAATTTATAACCTTTTTTTAAAATCAGATTGGATAGAAATTTCTTAATACTACTAACTGGCTTCTTCTGCATTCACTTAGCCTATAATAGAAAATTTTGTGTGAAAAAATCAATAAGGACTCACCTTTCGCTAATTGGTGATACTGAAGTTAGTGAAGATATGTAGATGAAGAAAATCACAAAATATTTCAATTTCATTTAATTTCTACAGAAAACAATCGATTTACTTGAATTTTAAAGCCAACTTGGACTCTTAACTTGAACTTTCAAACCGAGAGTTTAATGGATGTCGGATTCAAAATTCTTTTGAATTTACACAGCAATCAGTTCTCACCAGTCAGTTAATTTTTTTTTCGTGAAATTCGAAAACCATTCCTCCGGAAGGTGGTAGTGGTGTTTGAATGAAAACTTGATGTTTATCTATTAACACTTCCCATAGCTAACTGGGATTTCCATACAGTAGTAGGCTACTAATCGTTAACTAAATTTAATTAAATGTAGATAGATCAGGTGTTTTCGTGAGGAGAGAATTGTCAGCCATAAAGCTGTTAACATATTAACGATAGAATATCTTGTGGATAACTAATAATAGTCTTACAATGGATAGAATATAATTAATTCTTGGGGGGGGGGGGGAGATGGTTAGAGAGGTGGTTGTTACCGTCTAGCTAGTGGAACAATTTTGGTCATGGCGAAATGGGTTGGGGTGAGGGGGTGCGTTTTAACGATTTAAATGAAACGATCTGTTTGTGTCCTTCCATAAGGCCCTAGGTGCTCGTTTGATGCTGGCTGAGGCAAAGAAAAAAGGCAAACCGAGCAATCCTTCCACCCCCGATGATTCACCTACCTCAAGTTTTACCACCTCCAAGTCATCGAATGTCCTCAAAATCACCATCACTCCACCTGATTCGAATGGAGATGCTGTGAATGCAAGTTCTGCTGTACGGCTGCCGAAAAAAATTTCACCCTCGGAAGAGGCCATTGTCCAGTCGGAGATTGAGGCTGCTAAAATTCTTCTTCACTTGGGCATTTCAACCGAACGTCTGGCTGCACCTAGCAATGGTGATGCCAGAAATTCAATCACTGGAGCCTACAGAATCATGTTGCATCAGTTACAAAGGTAATTTTAACTCAAGCATAGAGATTTTTCATAAAACTGGTTATTGTATCACAAAATAGATAAGACATTACCCGATATGTCAAAATTGGGAAGAATTTATACCTCACCATTTTATTGTCAACTTAGTGAAACGATAACTTTAAACCTAAAGGCACCCAATATTACAGTGGTCTTTTAGCCGTTATCAAGAGTGTGATGGGGGGGGGGCGAAGTCTGCTGTCTATGAATGTTGTTGTGCAGATTGTAAAGCGATTTTGCCTCTGTCAGTCCTAAATTTGCCAAATTAGTCCAGAAAATCCCAGAGAGAACATGTGCAGCCCTGCCAGTAACATATTCCATTACATCAGTTGCAACTGTTTAGGTAAGGGAAAGGGGGAATTTGAGAATGGACGAATATCGATTATCTGAAATCGCCATGTCTTGAAAGTAGTTCACCCTGAGATCCAATAGTGTGCATAGGGAAGGAGACAATTTTGTAACACAAACCTATATAGAGGATTAAACCACAGTTTTACAAAGTTGGTTAATAGTGAGACACCAATTAATGATCTTACATCGTATGACGAACACGTATTAGAGAAAGAGCAAAGAGACTTCTTCTTAATTGCTGATTTCATTCTGTATGACTTTCTAGTATAATTATTTATTTATTTAAACCAAATGGCAGGCTTTATGATAGTTATCATTAGCCCTTTAGTTGACTTCAGGCTTCACAGAGGGAGAGGAACATCAAATCGAAAAAAGTCGAGAGTGGGGGGGGGGAACAGATGAGTGTTTTAAAGATGTAAAAGAGACAGACACAAAGGAGGATGAAAGGTGAGGTGAGTACCGTGGAAGTAGTCGAATATGACATACAGTGGGGTCATGATAGCTTGAAATCAGAAGTCAACTGCCAGTTAATGGACTATTTTGCCGTATGAGTATACGTTGCCCAGGGTGCACCACATGGAGGTAAGTCTATCGCACACCCCTTACAGCACAAATAAAAACTATGACAAAGTCCTTTATTTATAACTTGTCTCCAGAATGAAGTAGGCTACGTCTAATGCAGCAATAATGTAGGAGGTACCGTGTGGAGAGAGTTTCCAGCAAATTGGCTTGGTAAATGCGAGTATCATTAACGCTACGCTGCTATTCTGGGAGACGCTGCAGACACGCCCGTTAATGTTCGATAAGCGATCAGTGGCGTGCACGCACTTTTCAGAATGCTCTAACGCATACTAGTTCCATTTATTCTGTCTCGGTAGNTGTCTGAGTGTTTTCTGCATATGCTCCACACCTTCCAGCATGTTCTAGTGTGTTTGGGATCAGAATTTAAAACATCCAATTGAATAGAATCAGAAAATTCCAATGACATTACATTAAATAGATATTTCTTAGCACCTATTAGTTAATAAATTTATCCAACACTACCTAATTTAAATGTTTGCAAAGCCCTAGAGTAAGGAATGGTTCCCGGAATTAGTTAATTCGTTTCAAAGCTAAGGAGACACCGAAATGTACGACGTGGAATAAGTTTGATAGGGTAGCGTTAATTCTGTGGTAGGTCACCTCTACTTGTGAAACTGGTACAGAGTTTGGTCATTAAAAGCTGTTCAGAGTTCGCTAACCTCGCAATGACCTTTGATTGGTCTCGAGAGGTTTCTGTGTTCGTGACCTTATTCGCTCCCTAACGCGATCAATAACATGACCTCACATTTCAAAATATTGGAGAGCAAGTGAGATTACTTAATTAAATTTCTTGTGGCTTAATGGGTGGCCATCTAAACTGACTCACGCCAAGAAGAAATAGTTAATTCGTTTTTATTGGGAAATCGATTAACAGTAAGTCGCATAATCGATTGAAAGATGTGGCGAGTAAATTCGAGATATCAAATGGTTTATCTCATTTGATTTTGAAAGTTTATTTTGGGTCCA